AATTGAAGGGCTTTTTGGAAAAATGACTTTACTCCAAATATCCAATTTTAGGAAATGAGAAAAAACTGTCCACCTTCCTAAATCACCTATTTTTCTTCACTCGTTTTCTTCGGGTTTAAAGCACTTTAGGCTGAGTCGAACTTATCATCTGATGCATAAAAGTTCACACTAGAAGGTGGCATCATTAACCCTGCAGTGAAATCTAAAAACCCTGTGTGGGGGGAAAGTTGGGTGAAATCAACCCACTAGTTATTAGAGGCAATTTAAAGCACTAATTAATTACATAAATATTTTCTGTGTTTCTCGCCCTCATGGATTCAAGTATCTGATATTTCCATTTTACATGTGGTCTCTCTTTTCTCTCTCTTTTTTTGGAATCCACTGCCAAACTTTCAGATGTCTTTCATCCGACATTCTCCTTAGAAGCCCGTACCATAACAGTTGATGTTTTTCAGTTTGATCAGTCATATTTTGCTTCACATTTACTCTTTCTATCTTGTGGTGTAAGCCTCCAGCATCGTCTCCAAATCCTATTTCCTATCGCATTTATTCTGCTTTTCGTGTGCTTGCTTAAAGTCCACACTTCCGCTCCCTATATTGTACAATTTTCAACTAGTGATTTAAATACATGCTTCGTTTCTATTCTTGTTTTGGTTCCGTAATACATAATTTAATTTAGAAACTATAGTTCGGTAAAATCTCATAAAAATCCGAGTGTCCAGCATCATGAGTGTTGCGTGAGAGTTTCTTCGCGGCTGCAATGACTCGACCATTGACCACCTGCGGAAGTCTATTTGCGCCTATACTTCGAATTTTCTATAGTGGCCGATGACATTAGGTCATGGCCTTCCTGCCTTAAAAAATGCATCTTTTTGAATTAATTCACGAAAGTCCTTCTCAAAGGGACTTGTGGCCTCAGAAATGTGCTTACCGCTGTAAAATAGATTCATTTTATAAGGCAGACGTGTTACAATGCCCTTAATGCCGTCGGCCACTATTGAAAAAGCGAAGTATAAGCTCGGGCAAACCTCACGACACATATGACAAAACTCATGTACATGACAAATCGAGGCGTAGAGTACGCTGTGAAATAGCGTCAATTCAAATCACGCGCCAGGAAGTGAACGCTAACCTTTGTTCAGGATGAGCAAACCGTGACCTTCCACTTACTCATGGCCTTTTATAGTTTACCCATACCCGCGACCCGAAGCCAAACACTTTTAACTGTTTTTATTCGTGCGTGACACGAAAGTCCTTGAAGCGTTCTTGCAGGGCAGGTCATTGCTAGGGATAGTACCTGTCACGTTCTCTCTGTAATGGCCTTGGCACTCGTGCAATGTTACGCCGAAATTATGAACTTGGTGTGAAGCTTATAAACTTGTATTGGTTTGCAAGGAAACCGGAATGCAACAAGACGACACGCCGAATTTCATTCAGGCAATGCAAAAATGTGGAATTAAAGTTGTACCGAAAAGTAGTACAACTAGTAAATGGTATCTGAGAATCAATATCCACTTCAATTCGCTAATTGCGTATAATTTTTACTATTTGCACTAATATTTACAGTCCTAACAGTAATCGAAATAGTTTACGTGATAATAAATGCGTATAACTATAACACATTGATTTAGGTTTCTTAAATGATTAAGGTCCTGGGCTTTTCTAGCATTGGCATCGCCAGCTAATTTTCTACTTAAAATAATGTATACGTAAATATGTTTATCAATACTGTAAATGTTTTTTCACGTGTGTCGGACTTCAATTACAACAGATTAACAAAAGATTTAAAACAACCCTATTGACTTTTTCGTCCCCTTAAAATGTGTCCCTCCTCCCCCAAAGTATTTTCTGCCTCCACCATACGCCCATGAATTGCAATGCAGCCTATGGAATCTCTGTCCCCCCTTCGCCCCTTAAATTTTCGAAAATCGACGGATTGGGGGACGTTGCCTCGGATTGACGGACCTTACTTCAGATGGCATCATAATTCAATATGCGTCTGATCGCTCGGTCCAAAATTCATTTCAGGCAACAATTTATTTATTTCTCGCACGATGTAACATGGATGTGAATTCCAGGTGGCTGCCCTAATTCGTCGCATCCATGGTTTCCTCCAATGAATCCCAGGAGGATGACGGTACTGCCCCTTACATAATGGGCCACTGCCCTCGCGCAATTCTTTCTTTTCAATCCCGCTTCCAATCCCAATCTCAGAGTTGAGCGATCCTTCTCCCTTTAACTCATTAAGTACTCGATTTTTAAAATAAGTAACAAAGCGTTTCATAGTCAAGTTTTATGTTCTAGAGATGCATCGGACTCAAATTTTTATAAAAAATTGCAAACAGTAATCTTTAAAAATTAAATAAAATCGATCCCCAAATGGAGATAATGATACGTGGCCTGAAACATAAAATGAGTAGCCAGATGCCAAAGCCGCTAACTGCATGATAAGCGAAACAGATAATCGCGAGAAACTCATCCCATCCAAATTATTAAAATTAAAGACTTCAGTTTTGTATCACTAAAAAATTAACTAATTAATTACTCGGCATTAATGGCCAAAATCTGCGATTATGTTTTATACGTTAAAATCTAAAGTGAAATATAGACTTAGATGTTTTTGCATCCGATTTAAGATGCAGTTACCGGATTTGGAAGGGTATCGATCCAATTACGAAACAATCATTTGGCTGAAAACCCCGCTATTCGACGATATATTACGAATGACAGAAGAATGGACCTTCATTATTGAGAATATAAACAATACTTTTCATTTCAAAGAAAAGTCTGAAAATTCTACAAAATTCGCATATTAAAATACGTAAGTGGCATTGTTTTATCAGGAGAAACCGACTTATTTAATGTCGAAATGAGAACACAAGTTCAGATTCAGGAATATTACTGCGATGACAAAGAATTATTAACAATAGGACCGTAGTAATAGAAAATTTTTGTCGACCCCCCATTTGGGGAGCATGGTACTTCCCCGCCGTCTCTCAATACGACGAGATCGCGGAGGACAGGACAGAGTTTCAATTGAACGGTAGCACCCTAAGACGAAGGCAGAATCACCCATTTTCACTCTTTTGATAGGATTCGAATGTGGATTCGCTGTCAATTTGTTGGCGGTCGCAACATATACATCTAGATGAATAATCAGATAGATCCTACTACGTTCATTATCAGTATTAGGCAGTGATCTCATATTATCCTGTTAGGATGTACTTCGCAAACCAGAGCATTCCGGATAGTGATTATTCTTTTAAAAAACCACAAAAAGAAATCCTGTTTCCTTCAGAGTTCAACAGTGTACTCCTGTGAACTAGGATATGAGGTCACCATTTCGCCACACTTTGCGAAAGTTAAGAAAAAAATTCTTGCACACAGCGGGGTAAACACTTATGATCCTGCAAAAAGATGTTCAGTATGTTTTCAAAATATTCGAGGTTCTCGCTCTCTCAGTGACCGTAATAGGAACATATTTATCATAAACACAAAAGTGAAGGATACTACATTAGACACTGTGAAATATTTAAAATTAGTAATTTACTAGGAACGCAGAAATTGAAAGAAAATTATTAAGCCTGAAATCCTGGGAAATACCTCTATGGTTTCATTATATTATCAGCAAATATTAATAAAAAACAACAACAACAGTGTTTTGACTAAAAATGCAAATATTTTATTAGGTTAATCTCAAATTTCACATACCCGGTGTCACGACTATCATTCTCAGTGCGTATTGCTTACG